CCCCGCCCCAGGTGAGGCTCCGTGTTTCCAGGCAGGGCAGCAGCGATGGCCCCACTCAGCCTCTCTCAGCTGCTGGACGTCGCCATCGGGACCCCCGAGGCCGGGGCCGTCAACTTCACGGCGCTGCACAGCCTGCTGCAGGCCATGCTGGGGCACCTGGGCCTGCAGGACCTACCTGCCCAGGAGCAGGGGCACAGCCTGACCCCCCTCCGGGCAGGGGACCAGCCTGCCAAAGCCCTCCCCGGCCTGGAGAGGAAGGGGGACAGGGCCCAAAGCATGGAGCAGCAGCCCCGGGAGCCGAAGGAGCAGCTGCCAGGGAAGGACCCGCTGCAGGGGACCGCGAGCAGCTCCCAGGTCGCCTCTGTGGCTGCTGACGTGGGGCAGATGAAGAAGAAGATTGAAGCGAATGAGAGTGGCATCTCCAAGGTAGAGGCTCTTGCTGGTCCCCTGGGTGCTCCCCTGTGAGATGCCCCCTCCTCCGGGGTCCAGACTGCCCTTAGACTAAGGTCTGATTTAAGCCCAAGCTCATGGCAGCACGTGGGACTTCACTGTGGGAAAAGGATGGAGCTTTGGGAAGGAAGAGCTGGGGCTGAAACTCTGCTCCAGTTGCTCTGGGTTCTCCCCATGCTGCTGTCAGCAAGTTGTAGTGGGTCCAGTACAGCACCCCGTGCCCTTGGCTCTGCCGGCCGGAGGCTTGGCACCCCTGGAGGTCTGGCCCCACCACCCTCTCCATCCCTCCCTTCCCCACTCCTGACCCACTGCTAGTTACTGCGTCTGCTCCTTGGCCAGATGAGAGGCTCCATCGGCACCTCATGGGCCTCATTCCCCGCTGCAAATCCAAGGACTAAATCTGGCACTGGTGGGGACTGGAGAGGGGCCTCATCCTGCCCAGCACTGCGCCGCTTGCGGCCGCGCTTTGCCCAAGCATCCCCAGTGGGAAGAAATAGGCTTGGGTTCAAGGAAAGAGCCACCCACAGTGCTGCAGGGCTGGATCCTGCTAGGGCTGGGACAGTTAGGGAGAAGGCAGCAAGGAGGGTTTCCCAAGAGGGTTTCCCGTGTGACTGAGCAGGGAGTGCTCGCCCTCCTCGGGGCAGGCCCCTGCTTTGATCACTCCTCGCTTCGTTAGCGGCGCTTGCTGCTGCCCACCCGGGCCAGGCTGTGGTTGAGGGGGTGGCAGCGGCTCTTTGCCCTTTGGACTGGCATCAGTGGTCTTGCATGGAGCCTGGGGCAGGCAGGCAGGGCTGGATCCATCCCTGCTTACCCGGGTTGTGCAATGGTCCCCGCCCAGGGCAGGGGTGGGGGTCTCTGTGGAGCTGCTGCCCCTTCTTGGCTGCTGAAGATGTGATGAATGGTGCTGCCTGCAGTGCCCCGTGCCACCCCTCTGCTCTGTGCAGACCACAGCAGTGTAACGGCCCCCGTCCCCAGGGACCCTCCCCTGAGGCTCACCCCCGCGGCCCCCCTCTCGCAGGCCATGGCTGTCTCCCAGGATCTCCTCGAGGAGATCGGTGGGATGAAGGAGACGCAGTCCCGCATGGGAGAGGACATCCGGACAATCCAGGAGATGCTTGGCTTGGTGAGCTGCTGCCGATGCCCACGGGAGGGAGCTGAGCCCTCACCCCTCTCCCTGCCCCTCACCGCATCGCCCTGCTGCCCAGGCCCTGGGTGTCACCCAGCGTGAAGGGCACCAGGAGGGAAGAGTGGGAAGGGTGTCCCCAGGCTGGGAGCGGGGAGCTCAGCCCACCTCACCCAGAGCCCCCCACCCTCTGCCTGCCAGCGCTGAAATGGGCACCGCTGCCTGCAGTCAGGCTGGTGCTAAGGAGGTAACTGCATGCATAAACCAAAGCGATGCTGAAGCACTTTTTAACTAAACAGCAGTAAAAAAAGAAACATGGGTGCTGGGAAGGAGAGGAGATAAAGATCTACCCATGCAATACAGCCACAGCCCCCGGGGAACAGCCCTGCCCAGCAGCCCTCTGTCTTGTGCCCAAGTTCGTTTGCGGATGCTCCTTTTAAATCCCGCTCTCACATTTTCTGGACTGCCATCCCTTTCCTTGTCCCGCTCCAGGGGAACCTCCAGGATGCTGCTGGCCAGCTGCCGGGCCTCCGCGACCAGACAGCATTGGACAGTGATGTGGTACGGGCACAAACACACCTGGATCCTGCACAGGGACAGGAGACGGCTGCGTCCCCGGCTTCCCGGGGGGTCCAGTGCCCCCGGTCCCTCCATGTCAGCGCATGGTCCCCAGCGGTGCTGGGAACGGTGCTGGGGGGGTCAGTGCTCCAAGGCTGACCCCTTGATCCCTTCCTTCCCCAGAAAATGCTGAAGGAAAGGCTGAGCCTCTACCCGGCCCCGGAGGAGGTGAGCAACATGGTGCGCTGGGAGGTGCTGGAGGATTGCCTGGTGGGCAGCAAAGCAGGAGGAGGAGGAGGAGGAGGAGGTCAAGGTCAAGGTCGAGGTCGAGGTCTGTCGGTGGTGAGTGCTGGGGCATCCCGGCTGCGGGAGCGGGACCCAGCAGGACCGCAGCCCCCAGCGCCTCCAGCCGCTGCATGCCCTGGGGCCTCTGCAGAGGTTTGCTTGGCACTTCTCTTCCCTGCGCATCCCGCTGGGAGGCAGGACCTGGCACAGACAGAGCCAGGGCAGCTCCTGGGCTGGCCTAACAGACACCTCCTCTATTGCCTGTGCCACTGACGGCCCACAACAGCCCCTCCATGGGGCAAGTGAGCGCCCAAACCCCTCAGGGTGACTGCACAGCCCCATGTCCTTGCTTCATGTTGGAGAGGACCACAGCTCCCTGCCCTCCCAATCTCTCTGGGGCTGGTGGGTGGGAGCAGGGGACAGCAGAGGGACGTTCTGGGGCAACCCCCAGCATTTTGCACCATGAGATGGTTTCCAAATCCTGCCTGGGGCTGCTGCTTCTGAAACACAGGCACAGCCCGTTGGGCTGGGAAGCGGGTCTGGTCCAGCAGGTCTGGAGTGCTGAATCCCATTGCTAGAGGAAAAAAAATGCCTTGCTGTTGTATTAGGTGGCATCAGTAGTGTGTTTGCTGGTCCCCTGGGTCGGCTGCTAAGATGACTCCGCAGGCACAGAGACAACCAAAGGGCTAAAGGGGGCTGGGGAGGGGCCGGGTGGCTGTGGGAGCTCTAGGGGTCTCCACGGAGTGGGCACTCTGCCTTTGGGCTGGAATGTGGCTCCATGAGCCAGGGGGTTTGGGGACAGGGGCTGGGGAGAGGGCAGGGGGCCCTGGGTCTGCCCTTGGTGCTGCACTTCTGTGTAACCCACTTCCCTTTGCCTCCTCTTCCCAGGAGGGCAGTGGGGGCCAGCCTGCCCCCGCCGAGCCCCCCACTTCAGATGTGGACACCCTGCATGGGGCAAGCTCAGCGCTGGGGCCGAAGGGACCAGGGACACAGCCTGCACCCAGGACCAGCCAGGAGACTCCAGGGACACGGCCTGGCTCCCTGGGAACGCAAGCAGGGATGCAGAGAGCACCAGTGACCCCTGAGAAGTGGGCAGGTGCTCCCACAGATCGGATGGGGACTTCTGATGCCAGCACCACCACCCCAGGGATGCAGCCAGGGGCCCCTGGCACCCAGACCACCACCCCAGGGATGCAGCCAGGGGCCCCTGGCACCCCGACCACCACCCCAGGGACGCAGCCAGGGGCCCCTGGCACCCCGACCACCACCCCAGGGACGCAGCCAGGGGCCCCTGGCACCCCGACCACCACCCCAGGGACGCAGCCAGGGGCCCCTGGCACCCCGACCACCACCCCAGGGACGCAGCCAGGGGCCCCTGGCACCCCGACCACCACCCCAGGGACGCAGCCAGGGGCCCCTGGCACCCCGACCACCACCCCAGGGACGCAGCCAGGGGCCCCTGGCACCCCGACCACCACCCCAGGGACGCAGCCAGGGGCCCCTGGCACCCCGACCACCACCCCAGGGACGCAGCCAGGGGCCCCTGGCACCCCGACCACCACCCCAGGGACGCAGCCAGCACCTCCGAGGACACAAGGAGGAGGAGCAGGGGTTCAGCCAAGCCTCCCCTGCATGGAGCCCAGCCTTTCTGGTGCTGCAAAAGTGCCCACTGAAGCCACTCCCAGTGCTCCGGGGACGCAGCTGGATGCCACACACCCCAAGGAGGGAGGCAAGGCTTTGCCCAGCACACAGCTTGCCCGGGCAGGCCACCCAGCAGCGGGGACCCTCTCACTGGCAGCCCGGGGGTTTGATATTCCCCTCAATGCTGATCCCAGGGCCACAACACCTTCACAAGAGCTGGCGGTGACCTGGGGGTCCTCGGACTCCAGCAGTGCCGCCAGCCGCTATGCAGAGACAGTGGAGGCTCTCCGCCAGATTGGCCAGCTTGGCAGCCTCTACACCGCCCTGAAGGAGCAGGTGGCCCAGCTGGAAGCCACCAAGTCAGACCACACCGAGCTTGAGAAGCTGCGCCAGCTCTTCCCAGAGGGAGGTGAGAACCCTGGGGGGGCTGGCAGGGGGGGGTTTGGCATGGGGACACCCTGGCTCAGGGGCTCATCACACCCAGAGCCTGGCCCCAAGGGTAAGACCCCCTCACGGACCCTCCCCTTGGACCACATCCCTCTAGACCAGGAGAGCAACGCCAGCGTCCTGGCTGACCTCCAGAGCCAGGTCTCCTCCCTGCAGGGCCTGGCCAGTGACCTGCAGGGTGAGAAGGAGAAGGTGAGCCAGTGACAGCCCCTGAGGGGGCTGCAGTGATGCCAGGGGAGGTTTGGGCAGGGAAGGGGCAGCCAAAGGGTCCCTGTGCTGGGACAACGTGGTGGTGACATTCCCTGACTGTGCCATTGCCACTGTTCTCAGATCAGGCAGCTGGAGGATGCCCTTGGAAAGCTGGGGGTGGCTGGAGCCAACTGGGAAGTGGATGGCAGTGCCCAGACCATCCTGCAGCTGGGGTAAAAGGATGGGAGAGGGTTTCTCACCCTGTGGGGCTGCAAGGGAACCCAGGGGGCTGGGAGCATCCCAGTTTGGGGGTGAGGGACACCCCCCAAGCAGCCCCACGGAGGCTAAGTCTGCCCATGCCTTGCTCTCGCTGACCAGGTCCACGCTGCAGGAGATAAAACGGGAGCTGAAGGAGCTGGGAGAGCAGCAGGAGACGACCAAGGCCATGCTGGAGCAGTTGGTGACCAAGACGGCTGACCAGCTGCAGGAGCAGGTGAGGTCTGGGGAGGGGAGCGCTCCCACTGCCCACTGGCTCTGTGGGGTGTCCTGGCAGGGGTCCCAGCCGTGTCCTCTGGCTGGCTGGGGCCAGGGAGCCTCCATGGCACCCAGGCTTGTTGGCCATGTCCATCCCATCTCAGAGCCAATTCCTCCTTCCCTCCCTACAGCTGGAGGAGCTGAGGGCGATGGTGGAAAGCGCGGGGCAGGAACAGGCAGAGGGGCAGGCAGCGTGCCCCATCTGCAGCACAGACACCAGCATGCAGGTGGGGCAGCTCCTCCAGCGCTACGAGAAGCTCCAGGAGCTGGTAGACTCCTTCATGTCACGGCAGGCAGTGGGCAAGGTGGTGAGGCAGCTGCCGGGGAGGAGCCAGGTAGGGAGATGCTGGCATGGGGGCTTGGGAGGGGGTTGCCATGACCCCCCTCCATCTAGTTGTGCTTTGCTGTAACATGGCGGAGGCCCTCGATGCACCCCAAATTGGCTTGTACAAGTCAGCAGCACTGAAAGAAATTAAAGCCTTGATGCCATGTCCTGCTGGCACTGACAGCCCACGGCCATTGGCCGAGTAACCCAGGTCTGTCCCCGTGGGGCAGCCAGCCCTCCCTGGCACATCACCACCTTGTTGCCTTCCTCCCTGAAGCAGGATGAGGAGCTGCTGAAGCGCATCCAGGCCACTGTTGTGCAGGTGCAAGGGGACTATGAGAAGCTCAGCTCTGTCACGGGGAACCTCCTGGATGACCGTCACCAGAAGCAGAAAGATATTGAGGTAGGTGGCTGAAACCCCCGCGGGGTCAGGGCATCCTCCAGGCAGACCCCAGGCCGGGGACCACAAGTGATTTGTCCCCCTGTCAACCTCCTCGCAGCCCCATGGGGGTTCAAAGTACCTTTCCCAGAGGTTTTTGGGTAGGGAGGGGGAGCAGGGGGGTGCCTGGCTGGCCGGGAGGCAGCTCCAACCCTGCCACAGTGTCATGAGATGCTTTCTGTATTGGAAGGCTCTGTTCCAGTCCCTGGAGAGGCTGAAGAAGGAGAAAGCAGACAAGGAGGACCTGGTGCTGGGAATCGATGTGGTACAGCCTTGAGGGGCCCCAGTAACAGCCAAAGGGGTCCCAGGCAGGGTGACAAATGCCCCTTGTCCCTTGGGGGCTTGGTGGCAGAACTGACTTGGGGGAGGGAGGATTTCCAGACCGGCTGCGGGTCCTTGCCATGTCCCTCTGTCTCCCACCTGGTCCCTCTGGCTGGTGGGACCAACCACACGGGGGTGATGGGGCAAGCGGGGTCACATAGCCACTTCTCTCTCTCCCCCCAACACAAGCTGACCCTGGCCACCGTACCTCCAGCCTTTCCCCACCGCTCTCCTGCCTTTCCCTGTTGCTAGAAAGCAGACAAAACCGCCCTGGCCGGCAAAGTCAGTCGCACCCAGTTTGATGCAAGCATGGAGCGGCTGAATGAGATGATCCAGGAGATGCTGAGCCGGGTGAAGGGCCAGGAGCAGGGCTGGCACCAGGTCCAGCGACAGCTCAGTGAAGAGATGGGCTCCAAGGTGAGGGGGGGCTCATCCTTGCCACGCAAAACTGGCACCTTCAGGGTTTGGCAGCCTAAGGCAACATCCCTCCAAGGGTCCCCCCCTCCTGGCTTTTCCCTGGGGACCACGATGTCCCATCCCAGGACAGCTGGCTGAGGGTGTGTGCCCGTCCGCAGCTGGACCGCCTGGAGCTGGGGCCTTTCCGGCAGCAGCTGGAGGAGCACTGGAAGAGAATCCTGGAGCAGCTCAAGGAGAAGGTGCCGCAGACAGAGGCTGATGATGCGGCTGGAATTAGGAAGTGAGTGCGATGGGGACGGCGATGGCTTCGGGGACAGCACTCACCCTGTCCCCTCCTGCTATCCCAGCCAGTGCCTGTGTGGTACCCTGGCACGGGACCAATTTAGCCAGCAAACAGTGGGGATGCTAACGTTCTCCTCCCACCAGCAGCCACCATCAGCAGCAGACTTCCCAACGTTAGAGGGGGCACAAGGAGGGGGCACCTCCTGAACCAAAACTGGGCTGTGGGTGCAAAGGCTTTGTGGGGTGAGGGTGGGGGATGGCAGCTCGTCCCCTCAGGCAGGGGTGCGACCCGCAGCACTGCGGAGTTGGGTTGTGACCTGCCCTCCTGGCAAGGCGCAGAGGGGGGGATAATTATCACTGACGAAGTGATGAAACCGGGGCGAGGGCTGGTTGGGATGGTAGGCGTGGGCGCCTGCGCCCTTCACCTCACATCTCTGCCCGCCCTGGGCGGCCACAGGCAGCTGCCGGGTTTCGGAGGTGCCGTCGGGGCTGAAGCGAGCATGTACTGGTCCTCGGGGCAGCTGTGACAAAGTTCATCCTAAAAACTCTGAGAATCCTGCATCCCCCAGGCCCAGTGTTTGCTCCCAGACTGGGAACATTCCACCCCAGCGAGAGGTACAGGACCCTCCCTGGTTTATCCCTGCTGGCCCCAGCACCCCCAGTTCCTAAAGGACTGGGGTGCCATGGGGGCCCACGGAGCAGTTCCCACCCTGGTGGTGGTTTCTGGGCACTTGCTTCTGTGGATTCTCCAGTGCCTAATACAAGGTGGAGCGTTTTCCCGTGTGGAAGCCCACAACCAACCACTCTCCCTCATCGCTCCCCCTTTATTTTGTAACCAGCCAACAGGTTGGGACCTTGCTGGGGTGGTGGGGGATAAACCACGCTCAAAACCCCCTGCTTTCCACCGCAACCACTGTAACTCATACAGCAAAGTGCCCGACACCTTGCTGCTGCCTGCGAGCTGCCTGCAGCCAGGGCTGCAGCCCCCCCCGGAGCTCACCCAGCCCTTTCCCCCCCCCAGGCAGCTGCTGGCCCATTTCCACTGCCTGTCCTGTGACCGGCCCCTCAGCATGCTGGTGCCTGGCCCGTGAGTAGCACCTGATGCTGGTGCATCGGTGGGGGCTGCGGGGGGGGAACTGGGGGAGGTGGGTGCTGGCAGTGCCCTGCTGTGCTGGGCACAGGGGTTAGGGTGTCTGCCTGGGGGGGTCCAACCCTGCCGAACCCCCTCCGCAGCCCTGCCCACCATCGGGGGGACAGGGAGCCCTCCCCGGGGGCAGTGGGATGCTGTGGGGTACAAGCCCATGGGTTTTGGGGTGCTGCCCCAAGCTGGGGTGGGTCGTTTGTCCTCTATCACGCACCCGTGGCTCCTGCCTTCCCCAGGCACATCGTGGCCATCCCGTCTATGCCGCCGCTGCCCCCCCACCTCACCGGGCACCCCCATACTGTCCTCGATCTGGAGCAAACACAGCAGCACAGCCACAGGTAGGGGAGATGGGGACCCAGCCCTGGCCTCTGGGGTACAGGGTGGCCCTGCCCAGGCCCTGGCAAAGGAGAGCTCTCCCCTGGGGTGGGCAGAGGGGTCCAGGGGGGCCTGGGCAGGGCCGGGGAGCAGAGATGTGCTGCAGAGGGTCAGCTGTGCTCACCCCAGGTCTGTGGGGTTTTACAGCCCACCTGTGTCGCCCTGATTAGCCCAGGTCTCTGCCTCAATGATGCTGAAGCCACATGTGATGAGTTGCGTCTGGTCTCAGCCTGACCTCAGACTTGGTGGGGAGTTGGGTGCCTCCTGTGAAAAGAGTCACCGAAATTAAGCACTGCAGCTGGGACAGCCCAGCTCCTGCCTCCTGGTGTCCTTTGCGCAGGGTGCAGGGACCTGCTACAGCCATGACCAGCTCACTGGGGCAGTGGGGAAAGAGCAGATCCAGCATGGTTGGAGGGGCATGGGTGTCCTGCAGCCATCGGTGGGGAGCTGGGAGGGGTATACGCCACTGGGAAGCACCCCTGGTCCCCTCCCTGGCATAGTAGGGTGAAGCACAGGGTGCCACTGTGCTGGGCACTGAGCATCCCCATGTCCTGCCCCACAGGGAGCAGGCGGCCGAGTGTGGGTACCCCAACGTGCCACGGCACTGCGGGGGCCGGCACACCCTCACCCACCCGCTGCAGCGCTGCCCGCGCCTCCAGCCCCTCCCGCCCAGCACCCCGAGGCCACTCCAGCCCCCCACCCTGATCCCCATCAAGGTACGAATGTTAAAG